GGAATGGAGGGGGAGGAAAGAGGAAGCTGACGTAGATCAAGGGGATATGGCAGAGTGCTGGGACCCAGAAAAGAGCCCTGTCACGTGTTGCAGAGCCATGTGATGACCCTGGAAAATAGGAACTTCTCCCTGCAGGCTTTGCTTGTCAACATGGTCTCTTAATTTCTTTGTTAGAAACGCTTCATAATAATTTGACTCTGATTTTGCTGTGGTGGTGGTTTTTTGCCTTGCTGAGTGGGGCTGTGGCACACAGCTAGACCAGTTCCCAGGCTGCCTTGTTATCTAGGTAACAACCCTGACTGTGTTAAAGCAAACAGAACTCCTTGTATGCTGGAGGAAGTGGTATTGGTTGTTCTGAAAGAGGTTACCAGCAAGTAAGGCTCAATGCCAGGGGTCTCTAGACTTGCTGAAGCATAATTGTCCCTTAACATGGGATGAATCTTCATAAAGGTATAGATATTTCAGTATCCTGATAAAACTTCAGCTGAATTAAATTTCTTCATCCAAATTTTCTTTTCCCAGTAATTTCCAGCTATATTACTCACACATTTGCTTGCTCATTTGAAGTAACTTACTCTCTTTAATCGTGAATCCATACAAAATCTGTGAGGGAGAGCCCCTATGGATTCATACCTCATCAGTTTTAAGGGCTGTGGGTATTAGTGGGCTGCAGGGGATCTGGGGATTCAAGAGACAGGCTCCAGAGAGACTCTTTTCACCTAAACAGCCTCTTAGTTATATAGCAAAAGACTTAGTATTTCATGTCTTGCTGCCTGACAGAAACACAATAACGTTTTTGTCTTTTACTTATAATAGAGGAATGAGTCAAACCTACTCTCAGATAAGACCGAAGCGGAAAGTTTTAACAGTGTCTGCAGAAACCACCATGTCCTATGAGTAGTGTATGATAACTTGGCCTGCAGGTGCACACTCCTGTTACTCACAAGAACTGAAGTTGTCTTAAGAGTATATGAAGCTTGCAAATGTGTTAATCCATCATACTCTTTCATACTGAGATTTCAGTCAAGACTGAAGTCTCAGAACAAATCCGACCTGGGAGGACAGGGGAAAGGACAGCTCTGTTAACAGTATCTGGGGAGTGAGGTGTAGGGGGTTATTTTTAATTTTCCTGGGTGCCAGTATATTTGAGTGGTGGCTGGATTTGTTTGGATTGGGAAGTATGAAAAGAGAGGTGGGGTTTAGATATGAAAATAGAAATGGTTAGTGTGGAATAACCAGTGTGTGTAGTGTCTGTGCTCAGAACAACTCCCAGCATTGTTAATTTTTAAATGGTGAGAGGGAGGAAGTGGAGCAACCCAGACAGAGTGTACATACAGAAACTGGCTTGTCTTAAACTACAGGGTGGGACTTGCAGTGAAACTCTTTCAAACTCAATACACTAGAGAATATTGTCTTGCCCAGCCAGGCAACCAGCAGAAAGCACTTATATTAAAAATATCAAACATGCTTTTATCTGTCTTACTTTGTCAAGAAAGTTGCTTGTTTTCAGATTAAAAACTGATGCATCTTTGTGTGTGTGTTTGCTCCTCACTTAGCAATTTTACCTGAGGGAAAAGGTGAGCTTGTATGTGATTGGAGTTGTCTGGAAATCTTTAAGCAGGGGGATTTGCTGCTGCATGTTTCTGTATCAGTATTAAATCAGAACACAGTGGTAAAGGATTTTTCAGGTTCTTCTACTTAGTTGTTTATTGCAAGCACTTGATTTCACATGGAAGGCAGTTGGTTGGAATGTTGTCTGCAGCTCTAACACAAATGTGAAGCCAAATCTAAAATCTTTGTTATGAGTGTGAACTCACTGAAGGATAACCAGGTGAGTAGTGGAGACAGGAGGTGCTGGGATCCTTTTGCCACATGATGCTTTCCATTATTTTCCAGTGCTGTGCTGTCTTTTGCTTTCCCATGCTGATGTAGGTGTCTTGGTGGGGTGGTCTGCCCGAGATGCACGTGTGTGTTTGTGGGAGTGAGGCACAAGGCTCTGTCAGGTGAGCTTTGTGTCACGATGGTAGATGAGTGCAGGCCACCATGGGACCTGGATAAGAGATGGAGTTCCACCAGCCTTAAAGCTCTGAACGTATTTCTCACTTCCTTGTGCCTACAAGCCTAGTCTTCTGCTTGGGAACATTGTTGGCTTTATTTTCTTGCTGATTTGCAGCTACCTGTGGCTAGCTGAGCTGGGATACAAATAGTCATGGGCTGGGGTATCATAGATTACAATCAACTGGGTTGGAAGAGACCTCAAAGATCGAGTCCAGCTGAGTAGGTGGTGTTTGTCACAGTGGTATTTCTCAAATAGTACTGTTCATAGTTTTGTCATATGCTGCAGTGTAGCTTAGTTTACTTGAGCACTGCAATATGGGAACTTTTTGATGACTTACTGTGGTGTGTCTGTAGCATTGAAACCAGCCAACAACTCAGAGGCTTTCGCTTGCTCCCTGAGCTGTTAGCACTGGTCTGCAGCTGGGATAAGGTTGAAAGGCAACAGTATAGAAAGTCCATGAATGTTCCTGAGGATAATTTGGAGCCTGACTTCTGCCAGGTATCTGCTCTTTGCTGTTTACACTGTAAATAAGAAAGTGAAAGAAGCTTGAGTTTCACTTAGATATAAAGTAAGGGGACAAATGTCATGTTTAATGAGCATATTGTAAAACTGTTTTCTGAGCTGGGAGGTGTTTGTGTAAAAGGAAAAAACTCAAACCACCAAACCCAAAAAGCCTGAAGGAACACTTGACCACTTGTTTATCTTTGTGTTAACGTCTCATTCTTTCTTCATGGTTAGAGAATAGAAATTCAGTCATGCTTTTGGATGACTAATTCTGTGACCCTTCTAGCACCTCTGTGTGCCTTCATTACTTCCTCCTCTTTCTCAATCCCTCTGTGCATAGGAGTTGATTGTCTGACTTCAATTCCAGCACTTCATTCCACATAATTTATTAACTTCTGTGTAACTTGCATTCACTTCAAATAAGGGGAAAAACTTCTAATAGTGACTTTTTTTTCTTCTACAGAGAAACAAGAAAAAGAAGTTGACATGTATGCTAACCTTTCAGATGAAAAGGCTTTCGTTTTTTCAGTGGCCTTGGCGGAAATAAACAGAAAAATTATCAATCAAAGACTTATTCTGTAACTTGTGAGCACAGCCTGCTGCAGTTACCTGCAGAATGGTTAGCATATTTCCAAGGGGCCGTGGACTCTGGGAAATTGTGTTGTCTGCACCGACAAGGACCGTAGTATTTCCTGTTAAAATTCTGCTGCTGTTCTTGGAAATGGAATTGTGTCTCTACAAGTCAGAAAGAAAGTGTTCACAGGATTGTGCTGTGGAAAATCACAAAGCAGATATCTCCTTGAAGACAAATGCTAGACAAATGCACACAGAGAGACTGCACCCATTCCAGAGCACTTCTTTTGAATTTGCTGCCAGAAATGCAATATTTTAAATATTTTCAGAAATAAATGATTTTCCTTTAAAATTATATATTTCAGATTTTTCAGCTATATTGCAGTTTACGTATGTACATATAACTTTTTAATAAATTGATATTCCAATATTTTATTGAACTGGGATTTAAGTACGTTTGTGATACTTAGGGTGTGTTGGGTTTAATCCTCTTAGAAGTCTGCTGTTCATCCTAGGTATGGCTTCAGATTCACAGTTTTTTAATGGGTGTGATATAATTCTGATAGGAAGAAAATTAAAGTGGTTCAATTTGGGGGGGGATTATTTTGTTGGACAACTTCATATTGTGCCTGAATTATCTCTAGAAAATGGTTCCCTGTTACATAGAGTTGGTTTTTAAAAATCATCTATACATTCTGGGGTCAGACTCCTGAAGTTTGAGACCTAAGCACTTGTTTTGTAACAACTGTTTGCTGGGTGTCTGCCTTGTCCAGCTGGTAAGTACTTCTCCCATACTCTTTCTTGACCCATATTTACTGGAGAGAGAGAGAGAGAGATGCAGTTAGCACCTCCTTACTGCTGTTTCCAAAAGACAAGGGTGTACTAGTTCCTTTTACTCTCAATAGCTTTTTTGTCTGTCTTTTAAAAGAATAAGTCTTATCAGGATTGTGGTTGGACTGTTGACTGTAAATACCAAAGCAAAATTCTACCTGAGCGTGCAAAAATGAGCTGTTGTGGTAGAAATAAGCTTGGGGAAGACATTGAACAAAGTAGTCTTTGTTCGAGTGGTATAGTGCAATTGGAGCCAAAACTCCTCCTTTAGTAACTATATGGGGGTTTTGTCTTACCAAGAAAAAAACACCCTCAGAGCTGTGTAAAATCCTGAGGGAGGAGGTGTAGGAGGTAACTACATTCATAAAATCTGACACACTGAGGTTTTTTTTGTCACCTTTCATTCACTCTTTTCTAAGCAGGGGGATGCAATTAAATGTCTTTTTCTTCCATATGCCTCATGCTCTTCAGTATCACATTACTTCAGCAGTGAGAATTGCCCCATGAGATTCTGCTGCAGAACTGATCTCTGGGAGGAAGTAAAGATTGTTATTGATAAGGCTGGACTAGGAAATGCTCACTGTTTATTAGCTATAGGAGGTGTGATGGTTTTGGGTTAAGCCACGAGGGACTGGTCAGATGCAAACTTTGTAAGCAGAAGAAGGAAATGTGGAAAGTGATTTTTAATTCCTAACTCCTAATTGGTATCCTTTCTAACACTGGATGAGAGGGATGGGTGTGGGAGTGTCCTTAAACCACTAATACACATTTGTCTTTATTCCATTAAGTGAGAAACTGTGAACACAGGACCTACTTCCCTACATCATGTAGACTTCTGCTTTCCAGACCCGTAGCCTGGCACAGATACCAGTAGTAAGGACAGATGAGTAACTTAAGGATAGAGGATATGTTTGCATGGTAAGTTGTTAAAGTCAGAATGACAAAAGAGAAGTTCTAACTTTGAAAAGTTAGGGATATGCTTAGGCTTGTGTTGCTTCTGTTGCTAGAATGAGGTCTGCTGTGTCAGGAAGGGACAAAGAGCTGCCAGGGCAGTCTGGTCTGTGCTTTCCTACAGGTCTTGGTTTCTTTCTGCTCCTGCACATGGAATTGAAGTTGCTGTCAAAGGACTGAATGCTGTTAGACTGACAAAATTTCCCTGATGACTTTTATGTTGAGATTGGTGCCTTCTCTACTTCTTAAAGTACCAAAAAATATGTTCCCACCTCTCAAAAGTACAAGGCCGTTTTTTCTCCTTGATTGGTGGAGGCTCTCTTGAAATAGTGGTTGAGTTCTGTCTCTGTATTTCTTTCCTTTGTCTTCCCCAGGTCTCTGCTGTCAGCTCTTTCCCGCTTACTGTCATGCTACTTTTCTTCCCCTGCTGGTTTCCAGTTTCTTTGAGAAAGCTGTGATGGAAACAGGTGGTCGTGAAAATATCCTAGGGAGAGTGTGGTTCTTTGCCAGTGGATCTGGCAAAGCAAGAGACCTGACTTTCTCTTCCCACTGACCAGAGAAAAAAGCCATTCTTTCCTCTACAGACAGAACACTGGCACCTTCCACAAACCCTGGTAACTGTGGCATGCCAAGATGTAGATTGCTTGGAACATATTTAGTAACTGAACTGGAAAGCATCTGTGTTGTACCAAATAGGCATCAACGTGATGGTGTGTCAAGAGCTGTTTCTTTGTGTGTTAGAGATGATCCGTGGATGAAACACTGCAGCAAAGCATTGTGGATTAGAATTGTAAATTGTGTTGGCTCTTGGTCTACAAAACTAAAATAAAGCCAGTGACAGCTCAGTGATGAAAGTAAAGTTTTGTGTGCTGCAGCTCTGACTCTACTTGGAAGCTGCATAGTTTCTGAGAAGCAAGAATAAATATGGTAATGCTTCAGGAAGTTGCTTACACTATTTTTTTTAGGTGACTCTAGTTTCAGTATAAAATTTTAGGCCTTGCCTTTAACTGTTCTTGTGGTTCAGGCTGACTTCTTTTGTTTCACTGCAACTTCTGCAGCATGTAGCCTCACAGGAGAACAGTCTGCTGTTAGACAAAGTCAATTAGGCTGCAGGTTTTTTAATTAACACAAAAGAAGATCAAGTATAATACCACTCTACCTCTGTTCTCCCTCTGCATGTTGACTTGCCTGACTGGATAAACTGCTGTGAATGGAATAGTTCAGGATTGTACTGGAGAACTGCCTGTTTGTAAACCACCATCTAGTTCTGCTTTCTGCCACTTCCCAGTTGTTTTTTTTTTTCTGAAGAACTGTGCTTCTAGTGTTTGCAGCTTTATGTAATAGGATGTTTGACCATTAAGTGGGTTCACAGTTCAAATTTTGGCTTGAGGTTTCTCTGCATTTCCTCTCTTGTGCTCCTAGGTGGCAGGCTGACTCTAGGGACAGTCCACTGTTCAGTCAGAGTTCTCACTGCAGGGACTGGGAGCACAGGACTCAGCTTTCACTGAAAGCACGTTGAAAGATTATTTTCCTTTAGAACATCACTCCTGTCGAACGTGGGAACTTAAAATCCTGCTAGTGGGTGTCACCGGCTCTCTGCAGTGAAAGATTTCATCATCAGTTGTGTGGGGTGTTAGCTCTTGAGCTGTGGGAATTGGTAGTGATGAATAATTTTTCTTAGGACCAAAGAATTCTGAACTTTCAATTGGCAACGAAATAAAAAATGGTTTATGGAAACTCCTCACTTCCCCTGGAAGTCCCATATGTGTAAGTTTTCTTTGGTCAGATTTTACAGACATCTCTTAATTTTTCTGTTGTTTTCATTCTAAGACTTATGGTTGATTAAAAAAGGTTAGAATGGGACAAGGCTTTGGGGGATACTTCAGAGATTATCCTCACCCTGTGGCTGAGCAGCAGGATTGATGGAGAGAGGGTAAAGATGAGATACTGGCTTCAAATACCAGTTCCCAGCCAAGGTCTTTGGGTTGGGTTTACTTAGTGATTTTAATATTTTTTTCTTTAGGTTTTTTTTTTTTTAGAGTGAATCAGTGACCGTGTAGGCCACTAGCTGCACTGTATCCATTCCTGACTGTACTATCAAGGATGCTTAGTATCTCACTGCCTAACAGGATGTGATGGTTCCTTTCTGTTCTGATAAACTTCAGGATATTGACCTGTGACTAGCCAGTGTAACCAGAAAGTTTTCTTAAACCACTGTTTAGCTGAGGCCTTCTTGAGTTGCTGCTCTCCAGGATTCCTCTGTATGCATGAACACATGCAGGTGTGCTGTGACCTTTGGGGGCATCTATGCAAGAAGTTTTATTTGGAGCAGGAGCATCTTTCAAGCAAATCTCATGAGTCTGTGCTTGCAGTGCTTATGTTTGCATCATGGAGTGCATTGGGAAGCAGGATTTAGATTCATTTGACAAAAAAATTGACCTGGAAGATATCTTCAGCTGTCAGTGGGTGCTTGGTCTGCAGGACCAGGACTACCTGTAGCAGGTGTTGGGCTCTCAGTACCAACTGTTTGGCTCCACGGATTTCCTCTTGCACCTCATCTCTTGCTTACTATGAAAATGCAGGAGAGTCAATTTTAGCAAGTATAACCAGCACTTTCAGGTGATAAAACAATTTATCCTTCATAATATTGACAGTTTTATCATCAGTGTTTTGTAGTAGACTTCTTACTTCATTATTTCACTGTGGTTTCTGTCAAATAACCTCTAATGGATCTAACTGTAACACTTCAAGGTGTTGCTTTGCCCAGTTGTTTGCATGTCCTTTTTGGAGGTTGTCCCTTTGGTAGCAGTGATGGCAGCACAGCTCTAATAAGTAACAGAATATATTTTTTCCTCTTTTTTTTAGTCTGTCACTTCCAAAACTGATATGTAGTTAGAGAATTCTAAGTCTCCTTGCCCTGAAGTTCTATCTGATCAAGCAGGTTTTCAGTTGGGATGAGTGATCAATTTTTGCTGCATTGTGGCTGAACCACTTGCAGAAATACACTGCCTAATTTCAGTAGATCCTGAGAGTTCATAATGGACTGAAAATGTCTGTGAATCGATGTACTGAAGTGTGTTTTTTCTGCTCTTACTTTAAAAAGGCTTTCTCATAGCTGCCAGCTGTTGATTGGGATGTGCAATCTAAGGACAAAGCGAGAAATCGATTAGGCAGAGTCAGTGGAAATAGAAAAATCTGTGTATTTCCTTCCTTCTGCAGAGAAAAACCTGAACCTGCTTTCACCAAAGTTGTTTTGATCTCAAGCTTAGAACAGGGTTCTCATGAGTCATTTGGTGTCATCATGCAGCATATCCCCTGCAAAAGGTCAGTTATCCCTTCCTCATCTTCCCCTCACCCCCGTGAGCTGCTTTTCTTGGTGCTTCTTAGCTTGGTACATCAAACCTGAACTCTCTTACAAATGGTAGTTTACTGCCTTTGGACTCCTACTAGGTGTTATTTCTCTCAGTCATAGCTAGGTCTTTAATTTTGTTATAAGAATTAAGATATAAATGCTATTTTTAAGCCTGGCCAGCATTTAAGGCCATAAAATGCTGTTAAGAACAATGAATGTTCGAGATACCAGGAGCACAAATATTGAGTCTGGCAGTTTTCCAAGTTTCAGAGGTTTGGAGTTTTTTTGTTTTGTCT